TTCTAAGATACATAAACTTTTGGAATTGACTGTATAGCCAATACATCTTTAAGGAAGAATGAAATTTACTTACAAAGAAATTCTGTGAACCCGAACAGTTCATCCTTTACGTACTTAGTAAATTGAGACCCGACAAAGAACAGATGAACAACTGCTATGTTTTCGCTATAAAACATATTAATTTTTTACATGTTGCAAGCATATGCTATTTTCATAGCTAAAGAGGAAATATAGTTACGTGAAATATTTTTTATTCTTTTTTATGTAGCCATCAGATATGGCGAAACTGGGTACTAATTTGCCACCTGAAACTTGCACTTTGTAATTGATCTCATAGCATCCTGGATAACAATTGCAGCTAGATCTGAAAACGATGAAAACTGAGCTGCAGATTTTATACATTTATATATAACAAAAATTGAACGTGCAGGAATAGAAACAATGGAAGTAATATGTGAAAATATACAATTATATCAAAAGTGAATGCATATTGCAATGCGAAAAATCTGCAGTCTAATACTCAATTTTATTCTTGAATTTAATGTATGAATAAAGTGATTATCCCTGCTGCGTTGGCTGGGTCGTGCGAGACCCACACTGATTTTCATTAATGAATTTTCGAACTAAGTTTCATCACTGTGCGCGTTGTTACTCGACAGCTGATGGGTCTTCAGAAACCCAGTCACTCCAGGATTAACTGCTCACGTTTCGGAAGCATTGATAGAAGTTATTCCGCTCTCGTCATCATAAAGCTTGATTTCCATTGCCCTCCGAGCGTTCGTCGCACACACATCGTCTTTCTTCTCGCAGATAAGCGTGTTGGAGGATTCTGAAAACGGAAGCAAATCCCAGAGTTTAAAACGCGCGATGAGATGAATCACATACTGGAAACCGTAAACATTTTCTATAATTAACTGGGCATGTAATATTGGACGCAATCACAAGTCTTTTGCGTAAAATTGGCTTCGCATTCGAGGATGCAGTTTCTCTGCGTGTAGGTCCTGTAGTATCGTAGTTTCCTCTCAGACGTGAAGAAGCACTTCCTCTTTTTCTGGGGAATCGAGATTATAGAATCGCTCGCGGTTGATATTTCAGGCGACACGATCACTCTGGTCTCCTCGCCTGGTGTCAGAGTAAATGCGAAATCAGCGATCTTTGGTGTCTCGACCGGGTTGTGCAGCAACATCTGCAAGGGTGTACGTCCGTATCATCACAAAATTGCACGATGAGTTATTTCTAAAGATGTGCGAGAACGTGATAATTGAGACGAGACGGGGCAACTTAGTTATTACAGGACAAATCGAATTCGTATGAGAGTCTACGTACTTTAAAACCAACGCTAGCAGAAGACGAACAATAATATTCCGCAATATTTGCATCGAGTACAAGAGTCAGACCGTAGAACTGGCCGGCACCGTAGGGCCTCCACGGCATAGAATCTGCTGGTACATCTTTGTCGTACCCAGTTTCAGGATTCCAGTCGATGCTCTTGAACGGGAACGTCACGTTCAGGTCAGACCAATCTTTTCTGAAATGAAATTTTCAATCGGAAATGTAATAAAGAAAATGAATGTAAAGAAACAAAATGGGAGATACAAATAAGATATCAATTTACTTACGGATTATAAAACAAGTATTTTCTGTGAACCGAGTTAAAATTGCAACACATTCCTTCATCGGTCATCGACGGATTAAAAATCTTTTCGCAGTCCGTAATGTTCCCGTGCCATTTGCATAAATGCAACATTTCTGTGCAAGATTGCGACACCTGTTGAAAAGTAGTTAATAATCCTACAGTATATGCATTGTAAAATACTTTAACTTTGAAAATGGAAAGAGAGGCAGAAACTCTTCTTGTACGAAGTTAACAAAAATACATTGGACTCTCTATTCTCTTATGTCTAGGTATCTACGTACATTTATCATAAAACGCAGCATGTTTTCCCATTTTACTGCAGCCTGATCAGGTTCATTATTTACCGTTTCGTTATCAAAGTTACACATATCTTCTAACAGCATCTTCTTTCGAGCGTCGTTCCTATTATTGAAAGAGTACGAGTATAGTTCATTTTTAAACAACTTCAATAAAGAAGATTAACAGTCAAAGTTTCTCGGCGAATTTCTCTAAATCTACTTGACCAATTGTTATTTGTTACTAATTGTAAGAATAACTCACCCGGCATGTATGCGATCTGCTTCACTTTTCTTCACGTTATTCATGTTGCAAATGGTAACAGATGGAAACGGAATTTCATTCAATGGCACCGGTTCCGGGCTGAGGGAAATGATGATAGGTGAATCGACCCACTTTTGGTATAAGGACCAAATATAATAAGAAGCGCCCATGAGTGCTAGGAAACAAGCAATTAGCCAGAAAATCCTGAAAATATTAAACAAATCGAATAAGTCGTATCTGACTTTAAGAATAGTACAAAACATTTGAATATAGCTCGCAATTTATGATTGATTTAAATAATGTACCTTTCAAAAATCGTGAAATTTGAATCTCCGATATAATGCAAACCGTGAAGGCTAGTGTTCGTACTGTACTGCTTCAGAGTAGTTGTAACAACGGTCCTCACGCTCTGTTGTTTTTTACTTTTACTAAATTAAATAAATACAAACATCTTATTTGTCATATTAAAAATTATCTTATAATCGTTTCAAAAAGCGTTGTATTCTGTTACCCTGCTCTCTTATCATCGTCGTCGTCTTCGTCGTACTGTTGCGTTATTGGGCTCTCCTTCGCAAACGCGTTCTTATTATATCTCGATCTCAATGTAGTATCCTACAAATCATATAAAAAAAAAATCCATTAAGTCCAATATTAAAAAATTAATTAATAAATAAAAGAATATTTGTGGGCTTCACTGTACGATCTTACAAGTGTTTTAAAAATTGTAATGCTACTAGGAAAATGTGATTTAATAAAATACCTTAATGGACGTCGGTTTATTTCGGAAATTGTCGCGAGCGGCGTATCCTTCCATCTGCAGAGGCGATTTATACCGCTTCTGGAGATGGACCGTATTAATAGAATAGGGTAAATTCAGATCGTGAGTCCTCAAATAATTTAACGTCGATCTATCATTACTCTTGTAAGTTGTTTCGATCGGCGCTATTTCATTCTTCTCTGGATTCATGTATTCTCTGTAGTAAAGTTTACTCAGCATTGCGTCCTGGTCTCGGTTCTTCATGGTGATTCATTACCGCGAGGAGACAGGCACTAAGTGGTTTGTGACCAGTTGTTTAATGCAGACACTTCTGCGCTCGTCCTAAATCCTCTTCTTGCAATACTATTCTATTATGTTCCCAAAAACTGCTCTTACATTCTATTCTAATTATCGTAAACTCTTGAAATAGTCATGACGATTTATCCTATTTTTCTTACACTGGCACCTTTTTAAAATTCAATCAAACAGTTTTTAATAGCGTACTGGGCATAAATATTGTTCGTTGAAGAAAGAGGCTTCCGTCACAACGATAGATCACTTTATCGCGTTTAAGAAAAGCCGTTCCGTTTAAAAGTAACAGGTGCACCATATTAGAAAGTAATTTCGTATTGTCGACATATTTTCATCTTGTCAGATAGTGTTTTTACTCAATTAGGCCGACAGAAAAGTGTGTCAGGTTGATAAACGGTGGAGTGTGTTGGTCCTTGCAGAGCATCGATGAGGGATGCCTGTCAACCAACTGGGGGTGGACATCGTTAGGGCACATCCTTTTAACCCGCTTGGACACGATCCTGGCAACCACTGTTTGTTGTCTTTAACGTTCGCCTACGCGATGACATAGATAATTGTGAATGACTTTTATCGGATCCTCCCGAAGCAGATCTTATATATGCATTTCTTTCAACCATTGATAACTCCCATTTCTTCTTTATTTTTACATCGATTAAGAAACGAACTTATTTAATAAAAGCTTTTATACAAGCATAGACCAACAAATATGCTTTCTGAAAAGGAGGAAGCTCCATGGACTAATAAAAAAGATAAAGGAGATTTCCGTAGATTAATCGAATAGAAAGACGCAGTTGCATAAAAGGAAAAGGACTAATTGATATAAATCACATAGCGTTGCGATGTGTGATTTTATCAGTTTTTCGATTTTATTTTCACGCATTATTAAAATGAAATAAAACACTTAGCGGGTAAAGGTTTGAAAAATGAATGTAATCGAAAGAGAAAGGATGTTTGTTTATTTCAGGAAAAAATCCATATTTGCCTGCTTGCCATTACTGTAATCGCATTTTAGAATAATCACTCAATTCCGTCGCGTAGTTTGAAGAATTCATACTGCAATTACCTGCATAGTACCTATGTACAAGCCTTGTTAATGACTGTAATGCTCAAATGTTTGTAAAACTTGCGTACCTACGTTTAAGCAATATTTATTATCCTTATCGTGCGACTACAACCTTCGACATTCAAGTATGAATTTGTGAAATTTTAATGAAACAGATGTAATCTACAAGATGTACTTCGGTAGAAAGTGCATTTGGAAATTCTATTAAATTGCAGTGGCGCACGATAATAGATGAACAATTGTTTATTCTACGTTAATAAGACTGTAAAATGTTGGCAACGAATTTTTTATACCGCCGGTAATGATGATAATAATAAGTGTAAAAGAGAATACTGCAAGTACATTCCATTTGTCTTTTTTATCGAACTTATAGAAATGTCGAAGAACAGGAAGAGGAAGCGAGAGGGCGAGAACCAATTCACAGTCGACTGGGAGAAAGAACATATTTTTCCAGATGAAATAATAAACGAAATGGAAAGCATGTGGGAGGTACTTACGCACTTCTTTTCATTCCACCAATAAAAACGTTTCATTCTTTTGCGTTTAACTATCCTTGCAGTATGTATTTATTTCAAATCTTTGTATCTTCAGATCCCACAGATACTCCATTTCCTTCATTTGGCAAGAGAATCTCTAAACATTCCTCATTTATCTATGTACGAAATGGAACGAATGCTCTTAATACCGAGAGCTTCCAAACAATTGGCAAACATTATGACATCCTTGTTGAGGTAAAGTAATGTGCAATCGAAAACAATCGATAAAATATTTAATATTATTTTCGAATTAAATTTGTTAGTTCTCCTATGACCAAAGCTAAGTTGAGGAAAGTGCCACCTATGCCGTATGAATTCTGGACGAACATTCTTGCTTATAAAATGAAGAGTTGGTTCAAAATTTACGAGGCTAAACACCAAGATCCAGTAAAAGTAAGCTTTTCGATTCTTTATGAAATATCGCACCATGTTTTCTTACATAAAATATGTTATACATGCATGCATTGCGGCGATAAAAAATATGATAAAAGATCCTTAGGTTCTAGAAGCAATCGGCGTGGAACCGGAATTCTGGAGTATTTTCCCCGATGCACCTCTGTTGAACGGCAAAGATTTTGAAGACTTGTCCTTCAGGCGGAGAGCCTGGCTTCTGAAAACAGTCTGTGACACAGTCATGGTACGAAAAAAAAATAAAATAAAATAAAAAATAGGTGTTCATACATAGTAGAAATAGGATCTTGCTGAATGTCTCTTAATAATTTTTTACGTCTTTGATAAACTGGAATTTTTAGCACACTAGGAAAACCGTGCAAGAAGAAGTAATGAACCAGCCGTGGGAGGATCAATTCGAGACGGTCCTAGGAACTGACCGTTACGGGGCAAGGTACATTTATTTTCCACAGTTCCTTAAGAGTGATCTGAGAATTTATAAACACTCTTTCGACAACAACGTACTGTTAACCGTAAAGGTACAACTAAAACAGTTTATTAATTTTCTTACGTCCTTATTATATTATTCCGATTAATATTATTTTCCTGTTTAGCCGATTAAGCAAAAATTAAAAACCGAATCGGAAGACAAATCGTTAGATCAAACCGATTTATTAAGGAAGAAAGGCAAATGTAGAAAAAGGAAATGGTGTAACGGGAAAACTCCAAAATCAAAAAAGAGGACCAGTAAATGCAACAGTGATAGTGCAACAGGCTCTTTGATAAATGAAGACACGAATCTTAGTAATACAAGCGTCTGCAGTAGCAGTAATAGTAATAATCTTACCTTAAACACTGTAATAGATGAACGATCGAGAAGTTTGTCAAAATCTTCGGCAAGGAGTACCGAATCCGAAAAAAGGCATTATAAATGTACAAGTGGTTACGAGTCGAGCAGTTCTGTCTGCATAATTTCTGGTAAGAGAACGTCTCAAAAAATGTTCAAAGGATTTTCTGATAGCTGCGACAGCAAGTGTAAAATAAAGATAATCCATGGTCTTTTAGACGACATAAAGAGGGATACTAGCGAAGAGAAAGATTTAAGGGACATAGATGTAACTTCAAGCCACACTTCCAAAATTGCATTAGAATTAACTGATACGAAATCTCAATATTTAGATGAAACAAGTTTATGTACGAAAAAGAATGATACTACCGTTAGTAATTTGTCTAGCAGCTCGTCGAAGACGGACGACGAGAAACTGAACGAAATATTCAGTGCAGAAAATTTTAAGTCGAACGATAAAAATTCGAGTAACGTACAAGATGTTAAGGATACACTGCAAATATCGACCAGATTAAAATCTGATGACGAGAGATTAAATGAACCGAGAACGGTTCATAGAGAAGAAGAAGGCAGACTTGTTCCTAAACAAGAATTAGATAAATTGAGTGAGAGAAGTAACACGGATTCTTTTGATGAAGTTTCGTTAAATGAATTGAGGAGCATACTACAGAAGGAAGCAATGGACGACGAAAGTTCCTTCGACGAAGACGACGAGCTTAAATATAATTGTAGGAATATAAAAGATCAGAAGAGAAGAAAAGCGAAAGATTTTAATAATATGCTTATGGAACTTAGTAGTTCGAAATTTCAACTCGTAGCTGATAGTGTTAATTCCTTAAGAGACCTAATCGCCAGTTTTGAACAAAGAAATATTAATTTAGTTAGTGACACTAACGGTGAGGTATGTAATCATGTATTCTTTATAAATTAAATTTTCATCGAAATGAAGATAGTATTGATTTTCTAATACTTTTCTTATAGTCTGAACTTCCTCAGTCAAATGAAACAAAATTAGTGGAGAAATTAAAGGAACTGCTGTCTTCCCTTGAAGAAATTGAACCGGTTCTGCGGGAATCAGCAAAGAAAGCTAGAGCGAAATTGCACAAGGAATGGATCAATTATAACGAAGGGTATACACCCATTTCATTTTTATTAAATCACTTGTCATCTCGTCGTCATCCACATTGTCATCCCACCTTCATGTCTCGTTGAACTTAATCTGGGAATAAGATTAACAAGTCCGAAAAGTAGAGTCATTAATTTATCCGACTGCTTGTCTTTCATTCAATTATTCCCGGTTTAAAAATACATCCTACCTGAAACCTCTTGAACTTGCTACAATCTACTATAATTATAGTAAAGTGGAACTCTACCACATTTTTTCAGTAATATTCTTTTTGTCGAGCGTGTTATGGCACACAAGTTGCTGTATGTTGTAGCAGTGCGGAGGATCAGGACTCATCTGGGGAGGGTCTCGGATCTAATTGGTGGGTTCTTGGATCACAGGGCTGCCTTCTGTCAGCTTCCGGAGACGCGTTACAAACGTTATCGCAGCCTACTCTATCCGCAACTAGTTCCCAAAAAGACTACATTAAAACTGAAAAGGAATCATTTAACGAAACAGCGAATGACAGTAAAATCGTCAACGGAGAATGTAAAAAATCTCAGGACGATAGCTTGGAGAACGGTTCGCAAAAAGAACAGTGCAAGAGAAGCGAAGGAAACGATGAGAAAAATGCAAGGACGAAAGAAGAAACGAAAGAAGAAACAAGCGACAATGGTAAGAAGAGAGAAAAAAAAATTAATCCATCTTCGAAGGTTGAATACTTAGTTTTTTACGTGTAAACAGAACAACAAACGCGAAGAGTGTTGCGAACCAGAGGCATCTCTTCGTACACGGAACAGTTGTTCTATTCAGACGAGGAAACTGAGGAGAACGAGCTGGAGGGATGGACCGACGTTGAGGCCGTATACGCGGCTTCCGACCCATATGCCAATACATCCTCTTCTCACCCTGCGGCGAAGGACCGACTCTCTGACGATGGGTCAAACGAAGAGGACTCAGACAAAGATTGGATACTACCGGGCTCTCGCAAAAGGAAAAATAAACGTCCGTGTGAGTATCTCATCTGGTAACATGTCTTATTCAATTGATCAGGTTGTTATATGTATTGTTTCGATGTTTTTGCAGCTACCGCTCGCAGATTAAAAGCATTCAAGCAAAAGTTGCAAAACATCACGACCAATGTCAGTCAGAACACAGCAGAATCGGAAGTAAAACGCACGAGTAATGAAAGAGAAAAACCTAAAGTTACAGAAATCCGAATATGCAGACCAAAGAACCCTAACGACCCGAAAGTGGCTTCCAGTAGCAGCAACAGCGGCAACAGCGTACAAGAGATCGTACAGAACATTGTAGAGAATACCGTACAAACTGTACAAACTACTGTACAAGACACCGTACAGAACACTGTACAATATACCGTGCAAAATGAAGAGATGACGCAGAGTGATCAAGAAACAGTGCCTTCGGTAGAGACGATAACGAGCGTGCATTCGGAACTGGATATCAAGGACGAAGGTCCAATCTACGATTCTATGACGTGTCACTTCGATCAGAATTACACTGCGTTTAATCCAAATTATGTTAATTACTACGTAATTGAACCGACTGTTCCGGCTGTTATGCCACAAACGGCGATCGTTCAAGCTAGTCCGGTAGTCTCAAATATTGTACAACCAATCCAGCAAGGCTATTACGTGCAGGGAGATCAGAACTATATTATCCAGAGTCCACAGCCCGGTTTCGTGGGTCCCCAATCGTTCGAACCTCAATCACCGCAAATGATACAGCCGCCGCAGTTTGTAAATCCTACCGGTTTCATTCCCTACATGATAGCGCAGCCGCAACCGGAATATGTAACCACGAATCAACAAACCGTTCCTCCGAGTTTGCCTCAAAATTACAATCTTCAAATTCGAGCTAATTCTACTCCGATAGCTAAGCCTCAGAAATTAAAGAAATTTGTTTTTGTCAAAGAAAATCAACCTAACTCTGTTATAAGATATACCTCAGCTGCGAAAGTAAGTGGTCCGCGAACGAATAACACCGTCAACACGAGAAACGTGATGCAACAAACTAATATTTCTGTAAAGGCGCAAAAAGCGAAGGAACCGAATACATCTGCGGGTAATACCGATCAAAAGACCACGTCTTTGATTGTTCTCAGTGATAGCGATGATGAAATTGAGATGATCAGTACGGAGAAGATCAGTCCGCCTAGTAAACCTGCAACTTCGCCTTTAAAATACATCGTGCCCGCTCCGCGGAAGAACGTCATCCCTCAGCAGATTATTCAACGTATGAATCAAGGAGGGATCTCTATAACACCGATTAAACCACCAACGCCGGTTCAAAACGCCACTACGCAACTGGTGGTAGTCCTAAACGAATCCGGAAGTCATTACGCACTAGCACTTCCAAACGGAAGCAAGTTGATTCTTACCCCTGAGCAGGTAGCACAGATTCGAGCCTCGAACGGTGGTAAGCTTATCTTATGAAATATTATTTATAAACCGTTCCAATAATGAATTAACAAGAATGACATTGTTAATCCTTTATTGTTCATTTAAAAAGTTTTATGGATGTAAAATATTGGTATGCTGATCTTCTGATTCATGGAGACGTATTTTCAAACAGAGGATTCTTAATTGTTATCTGACCAAATTTCAGGAACATTTAAATTGCTGCAGAGTTTATTTCTAAGTTACTTTAACTTGACATTTTTATGGAATTTTTTTTTTATTAGAACTGAACTCGGGTTTGACAATCAGACTCGGAATTTACTACTGTATTCTATAATAAAGTACGGGAATCTTTTCTTCTATGTTGTAATATACATGTACGTACTATTAGAGTGATATGTAAACCTGTGATGTCTATATAAATTTTTATATATTTTTATTACATCGCGTATTGGCTTTATATAATTTGAGAGTTTAATGATTAAGAATATTTTATATATTGTCCTACTTCGAATGATGACCCAAATGTGTATTCTGCATTCTATGGAATTATGCATTTTTTAAATCCGTTAGAATATTATTTGTATGTAATTTACGTGAGTAATTTATCGCTCACTTGTCACTCGTGAATTTGAGAAATGAAGCGCGTCCGTACTGAATGGTATATCTC